ATATATATGAATATATATATGAATACATATATATGAAAACAGAAGTCTCACTGTGGACAGTGACTGCACATTTTATTCAGTGTGACAGGTAGCTGCCCTTTCAGCTTTTTCAAAATGGTGGGGAAGTAAAAGAAATCAAGGCAGTGACAAGAGTGGGCACATGGCTGTACTATAGTAGTGGGATTATCTTTTATGCACAGGGAAAACAAACCCTTTCACACATGGCTGAAAACATAGCAAGCAGCAGTGGAGTATCAGCCACCCAAGGGGTTCTCTTTAATCATGCCAGGGAAGCTCAAGGTCAAGCACTAAAAAAAAAGAAGAAAGTTTCTCCTCCTCAGGATGCTTACAGTACACACACTGGGACATGATAGAAAAACAGGGCTTCCAAGAGAGTCCGAGGATGGACGGTGCAAATGGGGTCAGGTGGTACAAAATATTTCTAAGACATTTATGAGAGGTGTATTGGAGGTGCAAGAATAAAGAGAGTGAATTTTTTTTCCTTCCTCGGTCTCAACAAAACCACACCGTGCCATTTCTAAAGGTTTTGTTTTGGCAAGAGAAGGTAATAATACGATTTTTTAAATTATTATTATTATTAGGTGTTATTAATACTCTGATTTAAGTTAATGCAAATAATAATGTGTTGCTTTGTTAAATACAGAAATACATATTACGAACAGAGCAGCAGTCAAACCAGTCTCAGAGGTAAATTAACAACAACATTTTCTTGATGTTACCTATAACTAATGACCAGGTCCTGAAGAGAAAAGAGGACTAAAACCAAAGCCAGCAATATGTTTCTAAAGTTACTGTAAACCTATGGTATACAAAAATTCCTGGGAATGTTAAAGATGAAATGCCCTTTCAAGAATTTCATAATCCTACAGTAAAAACAAAAAACAAATCACAAGTAGACCGAGGTCTTTCAGGTGCAGTCATCAGCGAAACAGGTCATCTTTACAGTGACTCAACCTAGTCCTGCATCAGCAGTGGGCAAAAAATCACCAGATACTGTGAATGGCAGCATTCTTAAATATCATGATTACATTTTAGTGTAGTTTAAGTCGTTTACACTGATTAGCATGAATCTCAGACGGAAATTGTTGTTTTTCACAACACAATCATAGATTTGAGAAAAAGTCGACTACTCTTAATGTACTAAAGGCAGCAGCAGTGGGGAATCATTTTGTAGTGTGAAGACTATATGAAGTGGGCTGTAGTAGTTTATGAAGAAGATGAAATTTAAATTAATCTAAAAAAATGATCTAAGCAGAACATTTAATTTTTTTGTATGATATGGGTCGATGAGTTACAAATTTCACAATATTGGTACCTGAAGTCGTCAGTAGAAGCTGTTCTAATACTAAAGCATGTCCGCACCAGTAATTCGCAGAGAACTGCAGTCGTTGTGGTACATGTACAGTATACAGTAGTGTTCAGAGCACCGAACTGGTCAGCGCCAAAATCAAATTCTCCGTGATTTTTCTCTGTCAGCTTTGTCTCAGCAAATGTCTTTTCCAGTGTAGTCCACACCGTGTTACAGTGTCCTTCATCAGTAGTAAAAGTATAAGCAGCATTTGGCCACCCAGTGGTGTGAGACGAGTACTGCTAAATTTCACACACTGGCCAGAGTGTAGCTCAAAGCCCTAAAAATCAATGTCCAGTATTTACATCTATCAAAATGGCACATCAGACATATCTGCATTTGTCTCACTGTGTCCAAAGGTTGGGTCATGGGTCAGTCATGGCTACTTTGTGGTGAGAGAGGAATAAGCCTTTACACTAAATACCATAAATAAATCTGACTTACAAGCTATTAACTGCAAAATAAATTACAACAACGTCCTCCAACACTAAATCGTGGGATGAGAGTGAGACGGAGCAGACGAAGGGGCAGCATCTTATTATCCATCGTTTACTTTTTTGGTTTGATTTACGTCACTGAGTAATCAGATATTTCAGAGTGAAGCTCTAGCAGTGAGAACTATACCGAACGATTAAGTAGGCATCCCTTAGGCCACGTTTACGGGGCCTGCTGAGGTCCCGTTCCTCAATGCTACTGGTTTGCGTGCTACAGAGAAGGGCGAACTCTCTACTTTCTTCACTCCACCTCTTTCTGTTGCTGCTCCAGCTCCTTCTTCCGTAGCTTTTCTCGCTGTTTGTGCACCTTCTCACGGTTCCTCTTGGCCTTCTCTATCAACACTCTGAGGTCCTTGATCTTTTTCTTGATCAGGGTACGTTCCTGTGAAGACGCAACTCCTAGGGCCTACAAAAGAATTATTAGAACTTAAAATTTACAAACATACACAAATACAACCAAATGTTATTTATTGTAGCATTTTACCAAACACTGTCACGGTTGAGTGGTGTGTTGTTTTCATGCCACGACAATATTTACAGAGTGAAAGCCCACCTTTAGTTCAGTGCTGTCCAGCAGTATCAGCTGCTCTCCGTCTATATTTTTGGCAGTGAATTGTGGGACATGGTGTTCCAAGTTAAGGCCCATGAGCCAGCAGGCAACTTGCTGGGAGGTCCACTCTGTGATGCTGTGGTTCTGCAGCTGATACTTGGAGAGCTGGCTCTCATCCAAGATCTGAACACACGAAGAGCAATTACAGCATAAACAGGTAGGAAACATTTATAAAGCTGATATACTGTGCTTTATTATTATTATTATTATTATTATCATGCACTAAAAGTGGATCGCCAACACATAAAGGTATACTACGGTAAGGTGACAGGAGAAAGGCACGCAGTGAAAAATATAACAAACACAGAAACACAGCAAGGGTATAAAAATGAAACAGGGAGATATGGATTTTACTTAAGGCACACAGTTTCAGGGAAACAGTTAACCTTTGCAGGCATGCAGCCTCACTCTCACCTCATCATCTATCATATCCAGACTCTGAACATGGCAGCAAAGGAAACAATAGAAAATGACTGGCTTGTTAACAGAGCAGCAAGAACAAATGTCACTACAGCAAGCCTGACCTAAAGGTGACATGTATATGGCTTTAGCTTAAGGTTCAACAATGATTTCAGCACCGTGTTGTGTTATCTGTAAAGAAAATAACACAAAAAGAAGTCACTCTTCCCGCAGGATGACGACTTCATTTTCAGGCAGTAACAGTGAAAATGATAAATGAGGGCAAGCAGACAAAAAAAAAAAAAGAAGCTTCATTACGGTGAAAAAGGTCTGCAATTGTATTGGTATTATCCTAAATTCTACATCCAAAATATCACAAAACTATTATACTATAACTATTTTAATGTAATAAAATATATTTAACATAAATAATGAAAACTGTGTGCCCCAAAATTATAATTAATGAAACATTTTAATCTTCTAGTTTCAATTGACTGTACTTAGTGTAATACCTGGGCCTGTTTAGTTGAGCACAACACTGCTATACTATAACTATCTGCTGCCACCTAGTGGAAGAGTATGAAGAGTATGAGTCTGCCTTTCTCTGCTGCAGACAAAGATTTTATGTGAGGTAAATACATTTTCAGTTTGGGTTGCTAGTTGATCTCACGTCACACACTAATGTGCAGCGGCACAAAGATTTAGAATCACTGTCTGAAACTAAGGGTTTTAAATTGTAAGGTCGTCGAAGTACCTCATCTGACGACAGCACAAGTGTGTGAGAGTGTCCCGATGTCTGAGCTTCATTCAGCAGTCCACTGATCTCCACCGAGCTGCTGCTGCTGGCACTCAGGTCCTCGTTCAAAGTGGGTCCCTGCAAGAAACCAGCCGCACATTTACACTGAAACGTCTCTGAGCGGAGCCATCGGAGAGGGAGCGAGAACACAATCTTCTCATTTTGGTCTGCAAAGTGAGAATGATTAAAAGCGACATGATGCTGCATTAGTGTGACGATGCAGTAAATCTGATCAGAGGGAGGTTATTAAATCTGTTTGTTAAGCTGGAGGAGCAGTAAATGAATCAAGAAAATATGCTCTTTTCCTCTCAGCATGTACCAGAATGACTGATGTGGGTCTTCTTTATATTTGAGGTTATTAAAAAGTAAAACATGCTTAATGTACCACAGGCACTGGAGTGCAGTGCAAACACAGACATGAAATTGTTTAGTGAGCTGTGAGGCAAAGACAGTATCCATTTTTGGTTTGGTCCTTATCACTGTATGGATGGTTAGGAATCAAAAACTGAAAAGTATTTCAAGTAGTTTTAATCTTGGAGATTTGTTCAGGAACTTATTGGTATAGTATTTTACTTGAATCTATGGTAGAAGTTCCAAAAAAGTACATTTGTTTCTGAATTATAACCATTAATGAGGACAAAGCTACATATTTTAAGGCAAATACCAGAAGTAAAACTAGTTAATATCATTAAACTCTATGAATAAAATGAATAATTAGAAATTACAAAAAAAAATCAAAAGAGCTCTTACATTAGACGAGTGATTAGACATCTACAAGATTAAGACTGTGAATCAGAAGCTACATATTATTTCCACGTCATTCTGCATGTTATTTTGTATTATTTTTATTTGAATCAATAATTGATATTGATAAAGTAATTGAAAGTATTTCAGAATTGATTCAATCTTTACATTAGTTAAATTATGTGTTTCTTCATTTATGCATTCCTTTGTCAGCATATAGAGATAAAATGGAAGAAAACACACAAAATACAGTACCAAGTAATAAGAATAGGAGAAGAAGTGGGGCCATGTGAGGGAGGTCTGTTAAACAAAAACAACAGGATTTGTCAAAGTGAAGCGGAAACACATCAGAACACACAGAATATACAACAATAACCTGCTGTGACTGAAACACAGTAGTTTAAAATGACATCGCTGTGAAGTGTGTGTTTTAAAAAAAAAAAAAACCTACTGTACAAACGTCTCGTACCTTGGCCTGAAGTTTCTCTGGGCAGTCTTCTGTTGCTGGCTCCACCGAGCTGAAAAAAATGTCACGCTGTTATGAATGGTTTCATTCAAGTTTTCAAGTTTCAAAGTATCCCACTGTAGTAACCTACAGTTAGCTTAGCATTTTTCAGAGACTTAGGTTAGTAAACATTTCAATTATAGCATAGAATCAACTTCAAGTGAATCAAGTTTCTTTTTTGTTTTTCCTACCCAGAGTCCAGATCCTGTCTGTTCTCCTGCAGGCTGTGAGATGGACTCGACATTGCAGGAGACTGGGAACCTGTGATGAACAGTCAGTGAAAAAAACACATGAATGTTAAATATGACTGCAACTCATTATATTCATATATTATTCACATTGTATGCAACAATCTTTCAACAGTTTCAACGCTGTTGATTAAATGATGGATGGATGGATGGTTAGACGGAATGCCCCTCCTCACACACACATCTGGCGTGTGCTGCAGCCCTGATTGGACTGTTCTGCTGGGCACTCTCAGCACTGTTGCTGTTGTTGTTGTTGTTGACCTGGATGCCGTTCTGCTTCATCAGCTGCATCAGCTCAGACTCTAATGCTGCAATCTGTAACAGGAGAGGAAACAGTCCATGTTCATCAGCCGGGGGGCTTTTACCTGTCAGAGGGGCTGCTTTGAAGCAGAAATAGAATAGCCCATTCAACATAGAGATATAGCCCAGGAGAAATACACCTCTGACTGAGCTGCAGGAGCCCTGGGTACAAAAAGGGCAAGGCTATTGTGAAACTTAATAGAAAAACTTTGTAAATATATAATATATTCCCTTAGCAGCATGTTGTGGGGCATAAACTTGCATTCTGAGGCATTTCTGGCACTTTTTTTATTATTATTATTTTTTTATTTTTTCACGATGGTAAGGCTATAGTAAGGCATGTTTTGGGTGATTTTTGAAATATTCATATAAAATACTTTTTGGACTTTTAAACACAAAATATTCACTTGGCAGCATGTTTTAGGATATAATCTTGCATTCTACAGAAGATTTTTTAGAATTTTTTAAATAAAAGTTTCTGTCAAAATGTGAACTTTTCGTGTCATTTTTTGGTCAAGCCCTAAAAAAATTTGATGAAATTTTTTTTAAAATTATTTGTCAAAATTACATCTTTACCTGCATGTTTCTCATAAAATTAGGGTATTTAGTTAACATTTTTAGAAATTTTGTTCTATAAAATTTTCTGTCAAAATGTGAACTGTTTGTGTCATTTTTGGTCAGAAACTAAACTTTTTTGAAGAACATTTTTGTAAAATTATTTTTTAAAATTGGATCTTTTCCTGCACGTTACTCATCTAATTAGGGCAGTTAGAGAACATTTTTACTAATTTCCTTTTTGTAAAAACTTCTTTTCAAAATGTGAACTTTTCGTGTCATTTTTGGTCAAAAACTAAACTTTTTTGATGAAAATTATTGTAAAATTATTTTTTAAAATTGTATCTTTTTCTTGCACGTTGCCCATCAAATTAGGGCAGTTAGAGAACATTTTTACAAATTTCTTTTTATAAAACCCTTTTTCAAAATATGAACTTTGTGTCATTCTTGGTCAAAAACTAAACTTTTTTGATGAACATTTTTGTAAAACTATTTTTTAAAGTTGTAACTTTTCTTGCATATTCCTCAAATATTTAGGGCAGTTAGGGAACATTTTTAGAAAATTTTATGTTAGATTTTATTTGTCAAAATCTGAACCTTTTGTGTAATTGTTTGGTCAGAAACTAAAAAATTTTGACACATTTTTGTAAAATTATTTTCCAAAATTGTATCTTTTCCTGCATGTTTCTCATAAACATAGAGCACTTAGAAAACTTTTTGAATTTTTTTTTATAAAAAGTCAGAATGTAAACTTCTTGTGTCATTTTTGGTCAAAAAAGATTTTGATGATTTTCTTTCTAATTTTGCAAATATTTTTTGGATTAGATAAGGCATGTTTTTGGTGATTTCTATTAAATATTTTTGGATACTACAACAGCGTATATATATACGGTATATATAGATAACTGTTTAATGTGGTATCAAATGGAAGGCACAGTGAAATAGGTTGCGGAACACTAGATTAAGACCTCTTACTAACGTGTATCTAGGTTGGCCCCAGTGAGTTACTGTACAGTGAGTCAATTTACCCTGACTTGAAGTCCCTGGATCTCAGCCAGGTGAGATTTTTCAGCCTCCTCCAAACGCCTCCTCTCTGCATCCTCCTTTTGGATCAACTCCACCTCCCTGAAGAAGACGAAACAGACATTTTGAAAAAAAAAAACAAACAAACACATTGTACAGTGCTGAATTTGGCAGTGTTAGGATGAGGAAAGTGTGTGCGTGTGTTTGTGTTGGGAGGAGAATTGTGCTAAAAACTCTAAAAAAAAAACATAATATCTGAACATGTTAAAATATCACTAAAAACAAGTCTACACAAGACTACAGTCTCACTATTACGGAAAAATGTCAAAAAATAAACAGTCCCAGAAATGCCTCAAAATGTAAGTTGATGGCCCAAAACCTGCTGCCATGTGAATCATTTCTGCTAATAACAGATGTTGTCATCTGTGACCATGCTGATACAGAAGTTCAGGATCCTACTGCTGATCACACACACACACACACACACACACACACACACACAGTGTATAACAGTGCTCCCCCACTCATCCCCATCTCCCCTGTGCTGCCGCCTCCTCCCTCTGTGGAGACCTTGTTTCATCAGTTACTCCTCATTTGGCCCGCAGAGCCACAGCCAATTACAGCCAGTCAGACAGGAGCTGAGTAGGGCAGGGTGTGATGGGACTGAGCAACGAGCTCCGTGCACTCCATCAGAATGGAGACTCAGCTCTGACGGCTCAAACGGGATAAGAGAGCCAGTCTTCAGAAAAAAGAGTCACAGTCGGAATTGTTTTCACATGTGGAATCCAAATGAGGACGAGTGTGAAAGAAATAAGGAAGAGAATTATGGGAAATCATTTTTGAATCAAGATTTAAGTTTGGGCGTTGAGCAAATCTGGTCTGGTCCAGACATTGTTATGGCTCTGTCAGCTAGTTGAACACATGTAGGTTCAATGACCCAGGTTTATTCTCTGTTGCAGAACCAAAACAGAAGAAGAAACACTTGTCTAGGTCAGCTTAAAGAAAAAAAAGTAAAGGTAGACTAAATTCATACCGATGGCCAGTAGGGATCTCTCCATTATCTTTGTACAGATAATATAAGCATTGATCTGATTGGTTATAGTTTCCAAGTAGGTCTGCGCACTCACTTCTGCTGGAAGTCCTTGATGAGCTTCTTGGCTTTGTTGTACTTCTTCTCCAGAGTCTGGTACTGGGCCTGGGCCTCCTTCAGGTGTTCGTTGACGGTGTGGCAGAGGGTCTGGGCCTCGATCCAGTAGCTCTCCAGTTTTAACATTCTCTCCTTGTTCTCTTCGATGCTGGCCTTCAGCTGGCTCTTCTCCTTCTCCCAGCGCTGCTTTTCCCTCTCCACTGATGCCAGCTGAAGAGGAGAAAACAATGACATTCACAATAATACACACATTTTAATAATGAACTATATTAAAAACCAGAGCTTCAATCCCTCAGATCAGAGCAGGGGTCAGGGTTTAAACATGAACAAGGAGCATGAAATTATATAATTTTGGATTAAAAAAAAACAAAAAAAAATAACATTTTAAATAAGATATTCTCTTGAACATTCTTATAAATATTTTTATTTAAATATGTTTAAATGTCATTATATGCTTCAAAAAACAAACCTCTGTCACTGACACCACCTGCAGTCCTCATCTACAGTTTCTGTCGACCTTACCTTGTTCTTCAGCTTCTGGATCTCAGCCTCGGTCACTGTGTGCTTGATCTGGAGCTGTTGGAGAAAAGTGCAGAAGAGAGAAGAAGAAGAAGAAGAAGAAGAAAGCGGTTACATAATCAAACACGCAGGCTTTCACTTCTGACGATTTACTGTAGAAGGACAGGCGGAGTCGGGGACAGAGCGTGAGCTGACCTCACACTAACAGCATCCTTGCTCCTGTACTAACTGTAACTAAAACATGAGACTATGATGGAGTAATGAGTAAACATTTGACATTGAACACATTATATTACCATTAAAACAAATGTTACTTCCACTCAGCAATTAGTCTGATAAGTCACAAGTGCTAACAAAATAAATTGAAGCAATCTAAGGCCAGCGATGCCGTCACTGTCCTAGGAAAATCCCTAACGCAGACTGTTAAATTGTTGATGCAAGCTGCAACCACTAGTGCATTTGGGTCCTGCCATGTGTCAAAACATATCTATGTTAAAAAAGGTTGATAAATATTCTTCAGTGAATTTAGCTGGTTGTTTAGCTACTGTAATCTTCTGGGTTCAAGTGTAGTTCAACAAAAGCCATAAAAAAAGCCATGGCATCAAACATGTTTCCTATTCATGATTCAAACGTGAAAGGTCAAAGTGTTGGACTTCACCTCTCGGAACTTCTGATAGAGTTTGGTGGCGTCCAGTTCCGATGGAGACAAGATGTCCTCCGTCTCTGGCAAATCAAAGACCTCGATGCTCTTCTCTCCTCCCCCCACCGTCGTCCCTGTCTCCTCATCATCGGTGGCATACTCGCCGGTCTGCTTCAGGAACAAACGCAAAAGAATGTACACAGTCAATTACAAACACAAATACAAATGTGTGAAAAATTACATTTTTGTGAATTTAGTTTAATTTTTGTGAAATGAGAAAAAAACATTTTCTATATCGTGGGTCACCACCGTAGGTTGCAAAATCGGGATAGTAGTTTGAGTAGTTTTTTGCAAAAATCACATCATTCCGGCTGTCTTTAGCACCCCCTGTGGGTGAAGAAAGGACAATTCTAATATAATCCTCTGCTATTGCGAACGCTGACCCACAACTTCTGCCTACTCCTACTCCTACTTCTCCTCAAGGTCTTTTAATTTTCCTTGATCCCAGAAGACTGTTTAATGGCTGTTGGCAGGGGCTGACTTTGGATGTGAATGCATCAGTAAATGGAGTTGTTGGCCGGTGACCAGCAGGGGCTGATGTTTCCAGTGGAGCCTTGTGGAAACATATCCGTCTGCATCTCAGCAAATTTGAATATTTTACTGGCTCTCAGTAAATGGAATAGCCTGGATTTTGTTAACCCACTGTCTGTTTCTGTGTCGTTATTTTCCCCTCTGCCATCGTCTCTCCCTCACCCCCCCCCCCCCCCCCCCCCCCCCCCCCCGTTCTGTTTCTGTGTCGTTATTTCCCCCCCTGCCATCGTCTCTCCCTCACCCCCCCCCCCCCTCCCCCCCCCACACACACGTACAGTCTCATCATCTTGGCCTACATCTTCCCTCCCTCTTTCTTCCGCCCTGATCACTCCGCTTTGGCCTGATTTGTCTGCAGTCGACCATTTACATAATAGTCTCTTTTGTTGCCATGGCGCCAGCATCAAGCGGCGAGGTTCCATATTTTTGTGGGTGGAGTTTTAATCTGCACACGTGTGGGCCATCAAACAACAATTTGAACATAATGAACGCAGTTTACTCCGAGCACAGGCGCGAAGACTCGGGAGAGAGAGGAGGAAGGAGGGATGATGGGAAGAGTCCTGTGTTCTAGACCAGGCTGACAGTGGACACCAAACAATTTATGATGTACTCATTTTTAAAGATACAACTGTGTGTGACTCCATGCAAATTGTTTTAATAGGCAGATACTAGTCTAATATTATCAAAGGTTCACAGTGATCTTCACACACACACAAACACACACATACTGCACATGTGTCACATTATACATAATTAGGCCCTGTATTAGTAACTGAAGGAGAACCCTCCCCCTGTGGGACTCCAGCACCTCCGTCAGCTCTAACCAGGCAGGGAGACACACCCTCCTCCCCCCTCCACCGGGTGAGAAGTTGATATAATATTTATAAAGATGTTAATATTGATGCTGTTTTTTATTGCTCCATCGATCTCTGTAATGGTTTGGTAACAGTGTAGTCATTCACACATGACACAGACGGTGATCTACACTGGCAGCAGTGTGTTTCCCCGGAAAGGATTCTTGGACAAACAACTTTAACCTGTTTAGTTTAGGGCTGTCATTTTTCTTTTTTAACTTTGATTAATCATAGCGTAGCTGCAGATTAATCATGATTAATCTAAAACTTATAACATGACCCTGTGTGTGGGTGGAGACCTTTTAGTTCCACTGAGTCACACAAAAGAAGGGCTGCTGAAATCTCCAATTTTTTAAAGTAATAATGTTGAGCGGAAGTAGCTGCAAATCCTCTTGTCTTCAGACGATTCACAAGGGCTTCATTCAAACTCTTTGATGTAGAGTATTTCATGGGAAGAAAGGCACAAAGTATGAAAGCTGAACTCCATCATTTAGATCAATGGATGTTTTAAAATGCACCACGTAAGACACGCTGAGTATAAACTCACTTTCAAAAGTCAAAGGCTCCTTCATTAGGAAATGTAACATTTGAGTTTTCTATAATAGACGTTTAAAAAGAAAAAAAATGAAAGTCAGCTGAAGGAGAAAAAGTACTTCTGGAGCAAAGGTAGACAAGGTACCAGCGTGTACCTCGTCTTGTCAGTCATTACCTCATCATCGTCAGCGTCGTAGTGGGCGTACTGCTGCTCCAGCAGCTCCCTCTGTCTCCGCTCTTGCTCCAAAGTCTGCTGGATCAGAGTGGCCACCTCGCTCTGCTGGCCAGGACGCTCTCGACCAATCAGGAACCTGCAAACACAGACCCAGTTACACAGAGACCTGGCAGTACACAGTGATACACAGAGCTGGCAGTACTCATACCAACAGCACCTCCAAAACCGACAAATAGTTCACATGATAAACCCACATCCGACCTGTAGAAGTGCGGAGCTAGCATGCTAATAGCATTACACTTTTATAAGTAGCTGTAGTATTTACATGTCGTTAGGAACAGGTTTGTGAGAATATAGTATTTGATTAGAAACAAAGGTGTTTTCTTAAGGTTGCAGACACCAACATCAAGTATCAGAAAAATCTTGTTAAGATGATTTGTTCTTAGACTCTTGGATTATGAATCCTTTCAAACTGTTCACTTTTGTCATCAACTTCAGGACTAGACTGATGTCTGAACTCCATTCTCAGGACAGAATATTTATCATACACTCCTGCAGTGACCTCCCGTGCCTCTCTCCCAGCGTAGAGGATTTGTGCAGAGCCGTGACCACAGCAGCCTCGCACAGTGTGACTGCAGCCAAGGCCCACAGCCACACAGCAATGACATCAATATCTGCTGACGAATCAGGGCAGGGCACGGAGACGGGAAACACATAATAATGCGTGAGGACAGTGGGCTCAGCCAAGCAGCCTGTCATTAGCCTCAAATGGAAGTGAACTGGGACGGCCACAGGCTGTGCCTCTGAGCCATGGAGTTACAACTACTGCAGTTGTACATGGAGTACAGTATATTAGATACTGACAACATGAAAGAAGCTTAGATCAGGAGACGTTCAAGTGACCGGGGCCTAAACAAGTGTTTATGGTCATAAAGATCACATCACTTCATACAGTTCTTTGTAGAAGTTGAATTTCTCTGACCTATTCTGGGAAAGCCCGACATGAATCCTGTAATTATCTCAGCAGGAGCGCTCTCCTCTTGACTGGGTGTGAGGGACTGAGGGTGCATTTGAGTGAGAGAGGAGGGCGTACAGAGAGAGAGAAGAGTGATTTTTACAGCAGAGAGCTGGAGTTTTTACCGAGGGACACAGAAACAGGCCCTCAGAGAGCAGCAGAAATACCAGTTTGATCTGGCAGTGAGTGAGAGGGAAGAACTCAAGGGCACAGACACAGACAGAGAGAAAAAGGTTTTTTTTAGGGTAATCTGAGCGCTGGACCAAAGCTCTGTCTGCTGCCAGTGAGTAATGAATAAAAAGTAAAACAAAGCCTCTGGATGGCAAGGATGTCTGAGCAGCAGTTGACCTGGAAACAGCTCTCTACCTAATGCATGTGAAGTGGGTCTTGGTATCTTCCACATCCCTGCTGCCCACACACAGTGGTGCCACAGCCTGACAGCAGAATCCATCACTGTTTATCTCATTTAGATTCGGTCGACATTCGTCCAATTTTAGTTTCCAAATCTTGCTGAGTGAGTAGAAATGGAAGGACAGACAGCTACAGTACGAGACGAGAGTCACAGGTTTGGAGATGAGATAAACTAAAGTCTATTAACAGAGAGCAGGGGTGTCAAACATACGGCCGGTGGGCCAAATCCGGCCTGATGGGGGGGGGGGGGGAGTCATCTGGCCCGCTTGATGAAAAGTAAAAAAATGCACAAACACTTCATGTTTGTGATGTTTTGTCAAATTATATTTAAATATTGATCAATGGATCAACCAATGATTAGATGCAGAACAGCAGTGATCACCTTTTTTTTTTTTAACCATAACCCGCTAAATACAAGACACAGAACAGCAGCAGGGCTGAGTGTATGATGGAAGGTTAAAAAAATACCACCCTTATGTTAGCTTTTGTTAGCTTGAGCTAATATAAATGCATTCATTGCACCACACCAGAGCCTGGGGAAAATGTTCAAGTCATCCTAGACCGTATATTATGGTTTATTTTTCCTCGATGTGGTGTCAAAGTCGAACATTTATTTTCCATCGTCACAGGGTTGAAGGAAAAACCTGGATGATTTGCTGTTGGTGCCCCGGGTTAAATATAGCCAGGAAAGCAAATCTGGGACAGTGGGCCAAGAAAGCTCATGGTGATCAGAGAGTGAAGGATTCACAGAGGAGGAGGAGGATGAAGAGGAGGAGGCGATGGTGAAGCGAGTGGGTGAGACGTGATGGAGAAGGACAGGAAATGTGCAGGAGAAAAGGAGAGTAGAGTGAACGTGATCCGTCATTGATACTGACACAAAAACAAAAATAAATCTAAATCTCACCTCTGTATTGTTTTTATTATTATTATTTTGATTTCCCTCCCTCCCTGCACTCCAACCTACATTCTATTTGCACTACTTCTACTTGACAGGAAGCCTAACAAGTGACAAATTTATCTGTTTCAAGGCTGACCCATACACTGTGCCACATTTTTGGAATGTGGAAAACTTCCATTGTCAATATTAGTCCAGCAAACAGCATCTATCTGTTCAAACAACGTCTCCGTCCGGCCCACGACGTTCCTACAGAGAACGTGAAAAAAAAGAAGGAAGAGAAGGAACATGAAAACCATTCCAAGAAATAACGGAAATCTAAGATGGCACGTTAAGGCAGTTGCCAAGGATGGTTTTCTGAATTAGAGCCTTTCTTTGATTTTTAATGTGTGTGTGAGTGTGTGTGTGTGTGTGAGCTCACACACATACACACGTAATAGCAGCAGACTTTTTGTCACATATTGTGTTCCAGCATCTCCAGAGAAATGTTAATGAAGCAGAGATTCACACCGACCGACATGACAGGAGCTGCTGAAGTGGCTGTGTTGAAAGGCGAGCAGCAGGACGGCAGGACGAAAAAGAAGAAGAAAAAGAAGAAGGAGGAGGAGAAGAAGAAGAAGAAAATGACAGGACAGGAGCCTCAGAGTCTCAGAACTCACTGCAAACAATGCCAACCATGAAAAAAAGACAAATGTAAAACTGAGATCAAAGTTTGTTCTGGAGGTTTTTACACTGAGTTTTGTTACAATGAATCATTTCAGTTGATTTGTTATTATATTTTCTTACGTCAGCTGTCCTCATCAACTGGCAGCCCGTGGACCAAATTAGACCCACCAAGCCGTCCAATCCGGCCCCCTGCTGGATTCCAGTAATTAGTAGTCCCCATCATTTATAACACTGCGACACATGTGAACTCAAAACAAGGTAAACACTGACAGGACTCATTTATAAAGGCAACGTCCAGTGCAGACAGCGAGGTTGTTGGGAAGTATTTGCTGACTCTAAGAAACAGCATGTTAGTGGTGTGCTTGAGTGTCTCACCGAACCACTCCTGATGTGTTCCTGAGGACGGAGGCGGCAAAGCTCTGGGTGACGCCCACCAGGCTGGTCCCATCCACCTCTACGATTTGGTCGTTCACCTTTATCCTGATAGAGACACAGTGGAAATATTTTTTTAACAGCAGATGTATATGAGCTCAGAAGGATGATGAAAGTCTGCTCACTGTGCTCCTCTCACAAATCATATCAGGGGGAGGGACAAAAAAACAACAGGCAGACAAACTGGCTTATTACTGGTTATTATTACTTTCCAAAAAACAAAACAAAGAAACAACTGCACCAAAATTTGTGTGGTCACAGTTTCAACTCTGGGCTGTTGGCTGGCTATGAGACAGAGGAAATAAGCCCCCAAAGAAAAAAAAAAGGTGGGCTTCTAAGGACAAAGAGTTCCTGTGAGCCCTTCAGCTCTAAGCCTCTGTTCAATCTGTGCCACAACTGAGGTTTAATGATTCACTGAGCTTCACTGGCTACAACAATTCTGTTTTTAGGCACTGTGTGCAAGGTATGCCAGATATATACATAAATATAAATATATATACAAACATATATGTGTATATATATGTTTTTCGATACAAAGATAGTATGGAAAAACTAGTACATAAACAAAAGAAAAAACATAAAACACATATATGCATATATTACATTACAATAAGTTTAGCAAACACTGTTATCCAAAGCGTGTGTGTGTGTGTGTGTGTGTGTGTGTTTGTGTGGCAATAACTCAAAAAATAATTAGACCTGCCCCAACAGGTTACAATATTATTTATATTTAGTTTTAAATTATTTTTATGTCAGTTTGTATGTGCAATACAGTTTAAAGATTATTAACAGAAAATTCTCAAACCAAAAAATAATTGGTTTGAATTAATTGTAATAATTATTTTTACAATTATTAATAATAAGTGCATATTTTACACATTGTTGGCGGAGCTAAACCGAACAACGGACCGCATTTCTTAATAAAATCCTATCATAAAATGTGTGACTCCTACCATTGTGGAACATGAATAAAATAGATATCTTTCGATAGTAGAAAACCGAGTTAATACAAAATAAAATAATGATGAATAATGGTTATACTAATTGCAAAAAGTTTGTCTCAACATTTAATAAGTTCGCTACTGTTTAATATCCGTGTAACTGAAGCTAAAGCACAGCGTGAGTTATCTGTCATGACGATTGACAAACACTTGTGGAGTGCAGACGGTTATGTTAAATGTGGCCAGTAGACGGCGATATTATGCAGAAAATAAAATAAAAATATTAAAATATATATGTTCTTTATGGACTGCCACGCTGCCAAGTTACACCAACAACAATAATAATAATACTTAGTGATATAATACTAGTGATATTTTGATAATAAATGTGATATGTGGACAGTAAAATACTGCTAATGTTTAGGCAAAGAAAGCTTAATGAGTGTGTTTGAAATAATTGAGCTATGAAAATAAATGTTACACAACATGAGTAAAAATAAACTATTAATATAACTAATATACATATTAATTACTGTAAATATTAACTGTATTATTAATAATACTTTTTTATTTTTTTAAATGTTGCACAAGTTCAGATCAGTAGATCTCAGCCATTTTTATTTCAAATGGAGAACAAAGAGTTAGAGACCCCTGCCTATATTTTACCCTCTCATCTTTTCATCTTCACTCTTTTACCCTACTTCTGAGGTAAATTTGATTCATGCCATGAATGATGCTGCGTCTTAAAAACAATAGCCGTACATTACTTTGGAACAAACTATTTCTCCCATCTCTCCTCAGGTTCTCTGCCCACTTCACTTTAACTAATCTCAGTGAGATGTGTGAATAAAACGTCAGCTCTGAAAGCAAAAATAATCTGCATAGAAAAAAACACCTACTGCAAACAACCTCTGGTGTCCCAAGGCTGTAATGCACCCTGTATTTACCTGCCCTGCAACTGCACAGAATGGAAGTGTTGTTCATTTTCTAATTCAGTTTGAAAGATGCTTGAACCAGTCTAACAGAAGGGAGTTGAAGTCACCACTGCTCACTTCCATACCCTGTCCTTGTTTGCCCCCTTGGTTCGGAGCTAACTCCACACTGTTCACAGAGGCCCAGCAAATACACAACACAGACAGCAATTCACTCAGGGACACGGATGGTTTCACACTGTGGAAATGGCAGCATGTGGTGCATACAAATAATTCAAACTATGCACAGAGAACAAGACCTAAAACCAACTTCTGATTTTAAAGCCTGAAGTTTTGAAAAAAAATATTTTAGAGATTAGAGATGAAAGAAAATGTTTGTCACTGACTTTCTTGATATGAATTTCAAATATGAATTTACATAAATACGCAACGCCATGGACTAAGGCACCCGTGGAGTATGTTCTAAAAATAAAACTAGGCAACAACAGGGTCAAAAAATGAATTGCACTGTTGTTATTGATTTTATTTTTTTGCAACAGTTAAACCTCGATGATTGTTCATGACATGTAAAATGTTTAATGACATTGTAAATCATGTGAAATGTTCAATTTCTTCATCATAACTCATCCAACTGTGCTGTCAATGCCGTGATTCAATGATTTATTTTTTTGATGGTAAAAATAAATACACAACTATGTCAATTATTTAAAAACATTTCAACGCCCACAAACCCTAGGACAAACACCTCCCACACTGGGCCTGCAGTAACAGTCCCATGGGAACATCTGCATGTTCCAGCCTGTCCCCGTGTCTCTAATCCGAACCCCCTGCTGCTAAATCTGACAGGTACAGAGCGTGCCTGTGAGCGTCCGAAACAAAAGAGATTGACTGCGTTAAGTGCTGCGTCTTTAGTCCCCGGACACGCTGGGGTTTTATGTGCCATCTGCTTTAATGTGTCACGCTCATCACTCAGAGACGCATGAGAAATGGAATTAGAACACGGCCCCTCACCTGCCGTCTCTCTCAGCAGCTCCGCCCTCGATCACAGTCTTGACGAAGATGCCCAGTTTCTCCAACCCTGCGTCAGCGCCGACGCCCATTCCTATAATGCTGATCCCAAGGCCGTCGTCATCTGTGAACATGGAGGAGACGACCAACATTTTAGGCTTCAATAACTTTGGAAATTCCATCAGAATTCAGTAGAAACTGGTGAATTAATGAGAACATTGGTTGAACATTAAAAATATCAGAAGAATGTACTTCAACTGAAAAAAAAAATACTACGATAGAACCTACGGCCTTCACTTGGACAAGGAACGAGCTGGAAGGAAAACTCCTTTCCTCTGTCCATTTCCATCAGCACTAATTATTCATGAGTTGTCAGGTTTATATAACGGTGATATCCACGTGCACTCAAACTATTTTTGGTCCATGACAATGGAGTTCTACATAGAAAATCCCTCAGAGTACAGAGTGAAGAAGAGCTCACCAGTGTTCCTCACTGTGATCAGTGGAGGTTTTCAGGATTAAGCTTTGCAATAATGTGGTTAAAAAAAAGAAAAAAAGAACAGCTGCTTTGTTCTAAACGACGAACTCCAGTAAAAGTATAAATGTTTTCTGTCTTCTCCGTGTGATTAATGTGGTCAAATAATCTCCGATTTTCTTTCCAACCTTTTTCCAGCTCCACAGGGAAGAGTTCCAGTTTCTCCACCCTCTTTTCCAGTTCATACTCAGCGGAGGATGCCACGGGATCCACCTCCTCGTTACGTCGGTCGTAGTCTTCGTTGGAGTAAGTGTTGAATACCTGGAAAGAAGACATGGCTGTAAGGGCACGGCTTTGGTCCACAGCTGCTGTTAGCAAAATCTGACAAAAACACGTTGACTCTACAGCAACAAGGAACAGTTAACAACAACAACAACAACAACGACGACGACGTCTGTGTAGGTGAGGAGCACGTGTGCTGTTTGAAGTGTGTGAATATGGAGACAAGAGATCTTATATTTCCAAGTATCTACTGTATTATTGATTAAAAACATTTGAGAACACTCACAGCTAAGACCACAACAAACCATAATACAAACAACATCGGCTTCTTCCTCCAGGATGTGCGGACTTCCCAGCATCCCCTGATTCCCTGCCAGAGTCAGCTGTCACTTCATATCTGCTTCACAGTCTGGCACTCAAACTGCTCCCTGCACTGAGCAAAGGAGGAGGAAGACAAGAAGAAGGAGGAGGAGGAGGGTGTGGGAAGAGTGGAGGAATGCTGCTGCTGCTGCTGATTTTGGCTGTAGTGTGCACGCTGTTGTCACGTCTGCAGTGTGCTGTTGTGCAGAGCTTTGTTTACTCCCTCCAGTGAGGGAAGGATGGAGGTGTGTGTGCAGCTGCTGGCCTGGCTGTAGATGCCAAGGAAAGATGGTATTAAAGTGATACCAGTTGTTTAAGTGTCCGTCAAAATGACGGACACCATCGTGCCACCTGTGATGTCGCCAGTGCAATGCATTTTTAAAACGGTTTTGTCTTTTAACGACAGAGAATCCAAATAAATATACAGTTCAAATGAGCATCAGTATTAGTAGCAGTAATTTTTTTTTACACCAAAGGATTGATTACTGCAGTGTTCCCCAGCCATTGTTGTACCCTGGCACACCACCAAACAAAAATCTCACAGAGTATATGTAATGAAATAATAATAATCTTTTAGTTTAAATTTACTAACAATGTACTCCTGTTTAGTTGAAAACCACGCTGATATACTGGCAGGAATTGAAGAAAGACACTCACAAAGATCTTCAACAGCTCATCTTTGTGATAATAACCATCTGCTGCCACCTAGCGGAAGAGGATTTAATAGCTCTGCCTGTCACGCATTGATGAACAAAGAAAAAATATTTGTAATACATAAATAATAGTTTTTGGACTAATATCAACATCACGCCAATTTCCCTGTAGACACAGATGACAACACAACACGTCTGAAGTGTTGCTAACCGTGTCGGCACATGTCTGCAGACGCCGCTGCTCCCTGACCTGTTTCATTTAAGTGAGAAGGGAAATATATTCACAGCAGATCAATGAGGCATCATGTCACATCACAGGTATTGATTAAAGCCTGAAGCCAGATTTATATTCATCACTCGGTAAAGGCCTGAGTGCACGCTGATTTCTAGCTGCGTAAGGTCACGGTGAATAATGACAAACCTGTAACTCTGCCATAGTTTATCTTTTAATCGCTTCACAAAAGTGATTCTTAATGGTATTTGTAGTAAAATCTTAAATATCTCATTTGTTACAGTTTATTAGGAGGGTCGGCTGATACCTTGTGTAGAAAAAAAAAACACGATCCATAGCTTCACAGCTAACCAGGCTCCAGTGAGCTGGAGAGTGGGCTGGTTGTATGCAGAGCTGGGACACATTGATATTAGGTGATGCTGACAGAGACGCTTTTCATCCTTATTCATCTTCAGGCCTGGACAGGCTTGATTCATGACCTAGCTGTCATCAATCATTCAGCCCTGCATTATTACAGCACACACACACACACACACACACACACACACACACACACACACACACACACACTTACACGCATGCATATAGTGCCTGGAATATTGCACATAAATGGCTTCCACTCATATTAATGACGCATTTACGAACACATGCCTGATAAACGTTAACAGCAGGACTCACGCCACGTGACATTACTATCGGCATCCTGTTCCCTCTCTAATGGTTAGCCTCAGTCGCTGTGTTCTATCTACAAACACATTAGCATGTGGCCAGTCACCTGGGGGAGTAAGAGAGAAAGAGAAAGAGAGAGAGAGAGAGAAAAGGGAGGTCACGAAGGAAGACGAGTACACATGAGAGCGGACGCTGGAGGTGCAGCGGCGGCGGAGAGCGATAAAAGGTCAGGAGAGAACAAAACAACGCAGAAAATAACACAGCATACCGTAAGACGGAACCAATGAAGAGACGTTAAGGAAAAAAAGGCGAGTGGTCATGAAAGAGAAGAACGTAAAGAGGACGAGAAGATAAACGGAGGAACAGAGTGAACCATTTAATATTCATATTCTTTTGGCACACACAAAGGCTCCTTTTCAAATAAAAAAAATGAATAAGTCATAAAGAGCTTGATGTAATGCAGAGTTCAACCTGTACACAGAGGCGAGCTTCAGGTTTGCTCCGAGCTCAGACTGAACGTACAGTATCTTCATGTTCTCCCTCAGTAAAGATGCACTTTTTCACCTCCAGTCAGGGGAAAAAAGATAAGGCTAAGACAAGCGTAGTGAGTGCAAGGGCGACATCACTGATGTGTGTTAATGTGGTTACCCTTGATGACGTTGTAGGATACAGCCGCACACATAGGAGATGGGAAAAAATGAGAGGATAATGACCAGGCAGCTGCTCAACACAGAAAAATACAATCAAGAAAACAAGAAATGTATTCACAACGTGCAGACACTGGAGAGACCCAGCTCTGTCTGGATGACAGCATACAGCAAAGTGACACAAATGAAACCTGAGAGCATTAGTCAATGAAAAATGACATGGATCAATGTGTACTGACCCACAAAATGTGTACTGACCCACAAAAAAAAAAAAAAAGGGTAAAAGTGTTTATAACCCCAAAAAAAAAAAAAAAAGAAAAGGGAAAATGGGTACTTACCCCAAAAAAAAAAAAAAAGAAAAACAATAAATGGATTTACAGGAAACAGCCATGTCAGGGTGTCCGAGCTGAAGCTGCTCCACCGCTGTTTGAAAAATGTATTAAATCCAACACAGAAATGTTGAGTAATAAAACTAAAATCTCTGAAGCTTTGTTTGATAGCTGAGCGGGAGGAGGGAGAGACGGGGGAAGCGGGGGGAGGTAATTCACTGCTGGTTTGAGTCTGTGCCCAGGATTTCACAGCATGGTGCTTACACCCAGCCAAACCCTTTGATTCCATTAAAGTGGTCATTTGATGTTTCATGCCAGTGCTGTTGCCTGGCCCGCCCTAAACAGACAGCGGACACTGCCCAGGGCAAGAGGAGAGGGGAGAAAAAAAAAACAGATTCAAAAAGCTTGGACTGCTGTGGCTCAGACCCAGTGACTCTCAGCAGCCTGGTTCACAGTCTGCTTCACCGTGACAGCTCAGCACATTTCCAATCCACTGCTTGTACCTGTTAGCACCAACACCACCCACACATCACCCGTCAAAGTAAGTGACAGGTGCTGAGGTAGGTGTCTGAGTGCAGGAGGAACAGGACACGAATGAACGTTCAAATTATCGGTGCGGAGACGATGAACACGGGGAGAGAATATGTTGCACCGCACACAACATGTAGCATTTGTTGGTCAGAGGTCAACCAATCAATCAATCTGACGTAAACCACACTGTCACTGAAGGAGGACGTGTGTGAGCGGAGGAGGAACGATTATATAATCTGTCTGAGACCTGTTGGGATTTCACAGCACAAACACACTGGATGTCAGTCAGTGACAATGATTGTATCGGTCAGGCCCAACTACAATAAAACAAAATAAAATAAAATAAACACTAACCAAAAAACACACTGATAAAAAATATTTTTTTCAGTCAGCATGTTTTTTTTTAAATTAAAAAGTCTATTTTAATTTCATTGCCTTTGGTGCAACACAACAGAATATTATAATATTATATCTAGTCCAAATGAGGGAAAACGTTCGTTGGCTTGAAATGAAGTGTGAAAACCAGGGCGAAGATATAAAGATATGCCAAGAGATTAGCCAATTATAGTAGAGGAAAATAATAATAAATAAATACAGGTGAGAGGAAAGTCCTCTTACAATAAACCACTACAGCAAGTTTGTGTGTGAAATGGGAGGGGGCTTTAAACAGTGAGGCAGCGAGTGCCAACCAACAGTGAACGAATAAATGCAGACAAAGCTCCGCTTCATGCCATGCCTTAGTAATATACAGTGAGTGGGAGCTTTGGATCACAAGCAACAAAACAACACATTGCTTGTTACAATGCTGTTGCTCTATTGCCCACTTGCTATGCCTCCTAATTCATTAGGCTGCTACAAAGACAAGCCTGAGTGTGGGACCATATTTCTGCACAGAATAATAATCACTCTGTGTGATCTGGCCAAGAGCCAGTACTGCATGTCACAGATCCCTAATCTTACACAACACGGTAAAAAAAAAAAATCAGTCTGATTGTTGTTGTTCCAACGTCTGATTGGTGCTAAAATCCAAAAAGTATGAATAAATCTCCTGACTAATGGACAACAAGGACACGGCGAAGTTCAGGGCAGAACTGAACCACAACTCTAACACTGTGATACTGGAACTCCAATTTGCAGCATTCTGTTACAATAACTACTTGTAGTACACAGAAAATATTACCAGCAGGGTGGAGAAACATCAATGTTTGGGGCGCGATAGCGTATTAGGCCCGGCCGCCAACACCCCAAGGCAGAGCTCTCCTTTCCAGGATCATTAAAAATACATCCCCCAGGGAGGATCAGGTGGCACTGAACCACGCAAACAAAAACACCACTGCATTAATAATAAAGCCTCGGAATAATACACACATGCGCAAATACTCGGTTGAGAGTACGTGTACCTGTCAAACGTTAAAGAGGAGGCGAGGACGTTTGTCTCGTTCAAGAATCAGACAGATTGCTCTTCGTGCTAACATTTTAACTCCACACAGGAAGTTGTGCAGGGTCACGCACACGTGAATTATTTGCGACAAGTCAACAGCAGCAGTCATATTTAACCTCGCCGGAAGGAGTGTAGCTGAAATGCCCTAACATAATAACTCGTCAGCAGTCAGTGCAGAGGTTTCGCAGTCCCTGACCAGCACAGCCACGGATGGCTGAATGTTGGAGCACATACAGTACGTAGTAATACAGAAAATCAAATGATAATAATACATATTAAAATGACATTTTAAAAAGGCTGTGTATCTGTGCTGTAGTGTACTCAGTAATACTGGGGGCAGGCGAGAAAACCTCAAAGGTTTGAGCCCAAATAGTCGTCTCTCCACTGCCTGGAACATCAAATCTGTGGACCACAAGGATGGTGTAAGGATGCAGTTTCACGGTTTGCAGGCATCAGCTGCTTCGTCTTCATGTTCCTTCATGGTTCAGTAATGTACACGATTACTGTCTGCATTGGTTTGATGTACTGTGGAATAAGTTGGCAACCAGCGTAGAGTACAGTCAAAGTACACCGGCTAAAACACATCCAGAACCAAGAGCGTTAGGAATCTTGAAGATATACCTCGTCGGAAACTTTAACTTTAAACTAAGCAGACGTTCTATGGTGCTGAAATCTACAGAGCAAATGTTAAAAAAAAGAATGTTGCGTCCTGACTCTCTACATTACAGTAGCATGTTGATCACACCTCTGAGCTCAGATCCATGCTGGTCAGCGTCACCCAAACAGTGATGGAGTGGCACCATATAATGGACTAAACAGCAGCCAGTTTAATAGACAGAGTGAAGAGTGGAACTGTGGAGATTAAAGAGCCACTTCACTGGTTGTTTAACCAGTACTGCACTCATCACACCTGTTTAAATCCATTAAGATAACACAGGGCTCCTACTAAAATGCAGTTGCTCTATCGCCACGAACACCATCATTAAAATGAGAAAGTAAATGCCATTCCCATCAGAGGCCAGCAGAGGACAACAGGAGGAGACAGCCAGAGCAGACTGCACACGGAGTGGGAAGACTCTTTCTGTCAATCTCCCGGTGTGTACTTCAACAAAAACAGAAACAACCCAGCGAACAAGTGACGGATGATGGACAGGACAAGTGGTCCGTGCACCTGATGCTTTCTGAGGAACCTTTTCATGCACCTTTTTGCCTACACACTGTAAATAAGAAATTGACAAACAGTAGCTATTGGGTCTGCACTATGGCTGCATGGTCGAAACTCAGGAGAACAGTGTCCTTCACACCTCTGATTAATTCAAGTGTGTTCTTCTTTAGTTTAGCAGTTTCTTTTTTAATTTACAGTAAAGTTTTTAAACCCTTTAGGTCTACATCCACAGCTACACTGCCAACGACATGAATTAGTCACATGTTCAACGGCTGTCACAGCAGTTCATCAATTCTAATTAAAGGACTGCACCTTTAAAATTTAAAAATAATTCTCTATAAACTCAGACTGTGAAGCATGAAAGATGTGTCATGTGGATCAGGCCAATGCAAATGACATCCTCAGAACAGGATTCTACCCTAAAGACAAACACAAATAGAAACACCGCTTCAACAAAATTATATACTATGTATGATTTTAGGAAATCATGTATAATCATAATATATATATATTTTTTTATCAAAGGATTCTCTGCAGCCCTCCCACAGGGGTCAGGCTGGACTCGTGCAGGGCCGAGGGATGAGAAAATATCTTTGTGTCTTTCACAATATAGACGAACAAAAGACAGCACCCTGTTTGTTTCTAATGCACTGAAAGGAGGGAGGGCACATGATAAAGTGGGAGGGGTGCATGTCTAATTGTGAGGAGGGGGAGGGAGGTGTGACCCTGTTGAATATTCCATATGACCAACGAACATCACGTTGAAAATAACGGTCTGCAGCACAGACGCCTATTTAATCTTTCATCTTTTTAAACTAATTATGACTTAGCTTTAAATATATATATATATATTTATTATTTATATATCTATATATTTGTTGAATTAAAAAAATGTTTTTTTGCTTTTATTCAAAATGTTCATAGCACTTTTCCTAAACCGATATAATACTAACATTACCTTCAAATGTGTTCAACACACAAAGATTATATTAAAAAATAAAAAAAAATCCCAAAAATAATAATAGAAAATTTAATTAACTATTTTAAACAAGGGACATTTTAAACAAAAGGAAAGTAACATAACGCATGTTGTTTACCACTGCCATCATTAGGTTTGCTAATTCCGAATGCTTAAGGATAATGGTTGGAAAATATTTCCCTAATCCTCTAGATCCATTTTCCAATCCATGGAAACACTGGCTGCATTGTGACCAAGTTTACAACGACCTGAGGGAATTTAATGCAACAAATGAAAGTATTCTATATACAATACTTTATAAATATAATGACATTTATATATAATTTGTTGTTTATGAATTGTTGTGTTTCATGTTTGCACTTCAGTGTTAGAATAACAGATTATTGTAGATTATAACATTTAAGTAAACTAACTTGGAATGTGCTGCTTTCACTAATCACAGTTTTTTAGACATTCTCATTAAATTACTCATATAACTTTATTAACAGGAGGTCAAATGAAGATAAACGTAAAAACCTTAATTTTTAATGATTGTAGGAACTCAAACCTGATCTTTTTTTTTATTTAAAAAAATAAGCTATAATTAGAAGCCACAAGGATGAAGCCGTAGAAACATTATCTCTCTTCTGTTTAACCTACTTTAGATTAGAGCTCCACCAGTGCTTCCATGTTTGGTTGTACTCAGTGTGTTTACACAATTCAGGCTGCGACGACAGTTTTTAACGTGACACAACTTACCGTAATCGGGGCAGTGCTGAAGCGAATCTTTCTCTTTGGAGGGACGTCCTCTTTGTCTTCCTCGGGCAGACCAGGAATCTCTGTCAGGTCAGAGCCAGGGTCATAGACGATGTCCTCGTCATCTCCGTAGAGATCATCCTCAGGATCGGTACAGCTTTCGCCCCAGCCCTGGTAACAAGCATCACCATCCGCATTAAAAATCACCCGCTCTTTTCCAGTGTATTCCTCATCAGGGTCTTGGTCTTTAGGAGCTTCAGAGGGCTTGTCTTTTTTAGAACCATCTCCATCCTGCTGGCTTTGAGCCGATGTTGTCGTTGGTGGCAGGGCCTCTGGAGTGGCATCATTAAAGACTTTGTTGGTAATCACAGCATCTTCTGTGGGATCCTCGGAATGTCGTCTGGTTTCAGGAGGTTTTTCCTCTTCTTCAAGGGAACCATTTACCTGGTTTCCATTTGTGTGTCCCTCAGAAAGTTGGGGTTTATCTCCCACATTTTCTGCTTCATCATCGACACCCCGCTCTTGAAAACTTTGTCTCAGCTCCACCGAATCTGTTCTAGGGCTGGAGGTCAAGAGGTCATCAGAGGACAAGGATGTGGGGAACTTCCCACCTATCCTGCTTCGGTAGCTTCCACGGACTGGAGACTGACGTGACTCGTCCTCGCTGAGATCGCCTCCATGGCGGCTAAATCCATCCGGTGAGTAGAGCGTTCGTCTGCTGATTCCTCTGTGGGGTGCGCTCTGATTGTGCTGGTCCACATTTTCAAACACAGCACTGAGTTGACTGACAGTTGGTGAGGACGCCTCTGTTCTGGAGCAAAGTGAGTCCAAGGAATCTGTACTGCCTCGATTCGACCTCGCTCCTCGCCAGTCGTCGAGGTGCTCATGGGAACCTCTTTTATCACGTCCACAAGAAAAGACTGGTGACTGGGACTGGTCACGTGACTGCTGTTCAAAAAGCCTTCTGGTTTCAGAGACCTTTGCTCCAGCAGGGCCCACCCTATCAGCAGATAAGGAATGCTGGAGTTTTATCACCGATCCATCCGTCTTATTGACGAAGTTGGTGGGTTTCATCAGCTTTTGGGGTGAAGAATCATCTCGCCCCTTTAGCTTGGATGCAGAGTTTTCTGAGCCCATCTGCATGAACATGTCCTTAATGCGGCTGACGTGGGTGCCATACTGGCGACCCCTTGGTTGTTTCACCCGTTCTAGATCTTTAGGCTTTGAGTCTCTATCAACCCTCGGCTGGTCAAAGGCTCTCTTGAGGGCCTGAAACTCAGCCCGGTAGGCATTGCGATGAGGGGAGTTACTCCGGAGGCTGGTCCTCTCCCCCGAGGCCTCAGTCTTCAACATGATGATGGCTTTGGATCAGGAGGCGATGTGAACATGTCTGTGGTCTCACCAAAAAGAGTACAGCGTTTAGCTTATTGATCTACTGCAGGGCTGTTTATAATCAGTCCATTCACACCTGTGTGGAGAAAGAAAAAAATACAGAGTTTACATGTTAAATGACAGTTTTGAAAACAATAACAGGTACATACAGTGTTACATTTAAAAAAGGTTACTTTAAAGATTTAAATTATCTTTATTTTATTTGACAAACTCCATTCAGGGGTCAATGTGCACGTGCTCTTTGCAGGCTTGGATGAGTTCAAGTTTATAACAAAAAGAATTTCTGTCAATGTTTGTTAGCAAACGTCAGTTAAGAACCGAGGCCTGCTTCTGTCTACAGGGAAAAAAACACATGATGAAGTCATGAGAAAAGGAAGCCAAGGATGGAACCTACTGCTGAACGTACTGTCCGAGTCTTATAAATTAGAACATGTTTGAAAACATAAATTTAATTTGACTATAACATTTGGGAGGTGTGCAATTTATTACTTACATACATTTCAGCTACACAGATCTCTTACACATAATCATAAAAGTACATCAATATTTATTTATATGTTTTTTGCAGGACACTGCAGGAAAATTGGTGCCGAACCCTATCAGACCCTCACAGTTCTCTTGTCCATTCGGCATTGTTGCAATGTTTACCTTTTACTCTGGGCTTTACCACCCTCAGCCACTGTAATAATTAAGCTCTGTGTTCACTCCAAAGCTATACTGGAGGACATGCTGTTTATACCATGTATTTTTCCCCTCTCCTGCGTGCACCGACTCCCACATCCCAACGCTGTACCAACCACCACGGACACTAGGATGCTCACTTTTAAATGTCAGCACTGTAGCAGCCCAATGCAAGCAATTTATTTTTCAACCTTAATGCTGCACAGAGGCAACGTTTCATCCCATTTTGACACTTTCTATCTTCTGCCATCCAATTCAAAATATTCCATTTCTATATTAATGTTTAATCTTGTTTGGAAATGCATTATGGGACAACGGGAAACATCTATCTGGGACAGGGAAAACGCATTAAGTTGGACTGAGTCTGGGAGGCAGAGGGATGGATGGAACCTAAATGTCCTGGCTGTGTATTCATTATTCACCACGTTGGACTCGTCCTGATACATAACACCTATGTGACACCCTGGTGAAAACAAGTCAATAATAACAATAAATAAATAAATAAATATAAAGTTAATAGGCAAAGCAAATGTGAGCGTATTTGAATAAGACTGAACTGAAGTTAAATATGAAGGGTTCATGTGTGTTGCTTTTTCTGGGTTAATTTTCCTCAGTGTAGTCACACAGAACAGCCGCGCCGCACAAAACGCGATGACAGCTCAGCTCTGACAAAGTGCCTCACATTTAGGTATTAATATTAGAAATAACAAAAGCGATGTCTGCAGATAAACTGGCAAATAAACACGTGAATGCATCAGAGTGGCTGAAGGCAGACTGACTTGACTGTTTACCACACAGCACCACAGCGGTGTTTCTGCAAAAACAAAAGAGTCTGACTTACATCGGTGGTTTCGCTGGACGCGCGACGGAAATAAACAGTAAAATCCACCGGTGGTGAATGAAGAAGCTCTGGCTGCACAGCCTCGGGAACAATAGCATCGCCAACACCGACTCCTCAACAGCCCAGGACGGAGTCGCCACTTCAGAAACGCTCAGAAACACTGGTGCCGCTACATCGCCATTGCAGGCAGTGAATGATGCTGCCAGGCGCACAATGGGGGAGTCGGTGCAGTTCAGCGGCTCCTCTCTCTGGAAGCTAGTCCCGGGCACCTCCACCAAGACGCCTGCGCCCAACGTCCGTGAGCGGAACGGTGGAGTACACACAGGCACCTGCAGTGGCAGCCGCTCGTTTGCAGATGTAAAGGCTCATGTGACAAGTGTTAAAACCTGAAAACTGCCGCAATGGTTTGGTCCGATAATCTGCTGCTGCGCGCAGGGGGTTTCGATGAGCTGCAGTCTGGCAGAAATACCAGCACACTGCTGTAACTGTAACTGTAACTTCACTGGCTCCTACACCGCTCTCCACTGGGTGTGGTGGTGGGAGGGGTGTGAGGGCGGGGGTCAAAGGGCACCTGGCTGTGTGATGAGGGATGGGGTACACATGAGGGTGAACTGAAATGTTGAGGAAGTTAACGGTGCAGGTACAAATAAAACATGTGTAATTGTTCATTCATGCATTCATCTCCATTCATGGTGTCCACTTAAACTAAGCTACAGGCTTTAGACTGTTAAAGGTAATCAAAGTAGAGAAAACTCTACTAACTGTGTGATAGTTAGTAGATAAGAAACTGTGTGATAAGAAAACTCCAATCACACAGTTATCACTGTGATCCTATCAGTGATCTTCCTGCAGAATCACTGCCAAGTAACAATAACAATAGAACAGTACAATCCTTAATTCATCCTATCCTGAAAAACAGGTGGTGGACATTATTAATTATACATAGGACAACCTGGGGGTTAAGGCATCTAGAGTGTGATTGTGGCCCCAGGGAGAAGAGACCTGGAGGTGGGGGAGCATCAATACGTCCAAAATCCCATCTAGAGTTAAAAACAATAGGTCATCTGTCATTTGTACACAAATGTGGAACTAGCAGAGTCAACGTTGGGCTGGTCTCTTTTAAGTACATAATAATAAAGCTGATCTAAAATATACTGTAGCTTTGATTCACTTTTCATTTCCTTTTTTTGTAATCAAGATAATGGCCTTGGACCTTATAAAAGTATCCGCTATGTAAAGTTTTTCTTTTTAAATATTTTTTGCGTCAATATTTAGGTCACTAGGTCTGCGTACGTAGAGTGATGAAATACTAGAGCCAGGCTTTTGCATGACATGAAACCTTATACATGAAACATAATATTCATTTTAGCCCAACAGCAAATGTTGTATTCTCATGAAAAAAAAATTATTTCACTTCATTCGTCTGCACAACAAAAGCAAAAGTTTTCCTTACAAATACTGTCATTATCTAACTGCAACAGATAACTTCAGGATCACATGACATAAAGTTAGTGCAGAGAGCACTGAAAAAGAAATAGACTGAGATCAATGCAAATCAATGGCAAACACACTCAGCTATAAACGTGCTCTCAGGGATGCTGATGCTGTTACCCCTCCGGCCTTCATTACTCTGCATCTTAGTGCTATCGTGGACCTTTTGCTAATGCTAATCTTGGAATGTGTTCAGCCCCAGTCAATATATATATTCTGTGTGAAATGTTGCTTAGCAACCTGAAAATAATCTTAAAGAGGGAGGAAGGATGAGAGACCAGAACATCCAGTGCAGAGCACAGAGGATGAATGACTTTGAGTGACTCATCGCAGAAGAACAAGAACAATGGATCAAATCCAAACAGATTTTTTTTTATCAAAAAGGTATTTGGCTTTGCAGGATTGGAGGTGGTCTTTAAGTGAGAAGGTGAATTACTGAGTGACCAGCTGTTTTTAAGCAAACTTGAGTGAGAGCCAAGGTGCCACAAACCTGACCATCTGTTTGCTGCCACTGCCCTGCAAGGAGCAGGACTGAATGGACGACAGTCTCCAAACATGTGTGTGACCTCCTACAGCTGGGTTTTGAAGGTCAGTGACTTGTGTGTGTGTGTGTGGGTGTATGTGACTGTGGACCTCTGTCTGTCATCGCATGTCAATATACACTTACTGTACTGGCAAATTGGTAAGGTACACGTGCTGAACTGCTCTATAAGCTCAATAATGCAAACATTAAATCAGCTGAACCTATAACAGCAGTGGAAACAACCTGCAGCAGTTTAAACTGAAGCTTTGGAAAAGAAAAGAAAAGAAAAGAAAAGAAAAGAAAAGAAAAATGTTTTAGTAATGATTTGTGGCATTTATGTTGGTGCCAGAGACGGTTGTTGGATTCTTTTGGAAACTGCTGATCCACAGGGTTTTTTTTATGTATATTGTATCTTTCATACTGCAGTGTTTGATTTGCATTGAATACATATTTTCTCAATGACTTTTGGAAGGTGTAAGACACTAAAATAGCCCCAAGTTGCAAAACAAAGTTTTCGTTCTTAAGCCTTACAATGTGAAAACTGACTCAGCTTTTTTGGGGGGGAGGGAGGGGAGGGTGCAGGGGGGATAAGAAACTGTGAACATCAGTTCTCACAAAAATCTCCCCTTGTGTAGAACAGAGGTTTGTTGGCTGTCTTAAGATATCCATTTCCAATGGACAATCATAACAAGAGAAGGATGACAGGGATAAAGAAACTGCATTTATGGCACCCCCTGCAGGAGAACTAAGGGGCGCTGAGTTTGTTTACAAACAATTAAAGGCTGAATTCCTCCAGCTTTTAACACAAAATCAAAAGTTATCACCGTGTTTTGGGGGTCGAATTAACATTTGATTGTTATTAACAGGACATACAAAATTAGTTTGCGATCATTTCACACAGTAAATGTCATTATACTGAGGGTGGAGTGTGGGACTGTAATTCACTTGTTTTTTCTTGCTTCTGTTTTACGAGACAACCATGTTTTTCCATCCAGATGTTCCACCAATAAGAAGCCACTGTTTCCAGTGAAGGAAGGAGGCGGAGGAAGGAATTCTACTGCTACTGCCGCTGCTGGACCGGGATGCTTATTATTATTATCTGTCAAACCCAGTAGCCGTTAAGATCAGGGGGGAAATCGTTGATTTTATTTTCGTTAGACAAACGAGGACGATGATGAAGAGCATGTCAACAGTCGTTGTAGGGCTGTGTACGGGTACGTACGAAAAAAGACGGCTATTACCGCAGTGCTTTTCCACAGGCATTTGACGCGGTGCTGATGCTAGTTGGTTAGCCCGTTAGCGAGCTGCTATTGCTGTGCTCATTTTTTCCAAAGGACAGCCTAGGAGGAGTCATTAAGACAAAAGCTAAAGCTGAGTGCAATAGCACAGAATCGCAAAACATGTTTTTTTTTAATAAAAGCTGGGACAATGATGCCGACGTCGTTAAATAAACTACATGGGTCATTTAAATATATGTAATATGCATCAGGTATTTATAAACATAAGATAGATAACATTGATTATATAGGGCAGAAGGTAACGTTAATAATACTTATTTTTTACCTGTGATATTAGGTTTTACCTTTTTAATAACTTTGTTATTTATTAATGAATATTTACCAACTACATATTTGTAATATGCTAGAACAAACACATATTGAGTCAGAAATCTATTTTCAGTTTCTGTCCTATGTTCTTAGAATAAAAACTTATTCTGCAGGATTTAGATTTTGGTTGTAGTTAGCTGTAGTTCAGGTGTCTGTGTAAGACCTACATGTTCAACTCACGACTTAACTTATCGATCCAATAGTGTACTTTGCACATGCCTTCGAACACAGTGCTTTACTTGAGAGAAATGTCCACATGGAGCGATCCATGGGCTTGAAGCAGAGAACAGCATTGTACAGAGATGGTGAGTGGGTGTTTGCAGTGGTGCACCTCATTTGTTGAGCCACTGTCCCCTCCCTGCCTGTCATAACACAGTGACACACTCAGATGGTTTCATACTGACGCCGTTGTATTCCGTGGACTGTGACCTCACAGATGTGGCCCACTACCTCTTGTTGTTTCAGTAGTTTGCTGGCTTTAAAGTTTGGTCTAAACCTGATACTGATTCCAATCAGACGTAATCCTAACATGTTAACTCTCCTAACATGTTAACTCTCTTCAGACGTAATCCTAACATGTTAACTCTCTTGTCCTTTTGTTAACACAGCATACTGATGCTTTACTGTACCACGCAGATTCTGTAGATATGCAGTAAAATATGAACCAAATACGAATTGGAAGGAATCTTACCTTTATGTTCCTCTAGAAATATGAAGTGCGTTGACTCTTTTCTTTAGTTATCCACTTCTGCTTGTCTTTACTTTCACTTCCTGGTCAGTTCTCAGAACAAATCACAAACTGGGTAGATACCAAAGGCTCACTCCAAACAGAAGCAATCCTTGTTGTCTCTTCTTCCCCCTCCAAACACCAAGGAAGCACATGGATCCCTCCTGACAATGAAAACATAAATATTCATGGATCAGATTCAACATATCCAAGTGACAGCAGTCCCAGCCTGTCGACTAGCAGCAAGCTCCAGGCCGTGGTTACCTAGAGCCATTAAAGGGACAAGGGTGGTTAATTCTCTCCATTTTGCCAATGGCAGTTTTAACTAAAGATCACTCCTCAGACTTCAGCCAGTCCAAGGTCAGCTCACGGAGGCATGAAATCTAGTTAGTGATTTCTGCCCTTCTGTAAGGCATGTTAGTCATGGTGGTATTACATACATGTGTGTCATAAAATAGAGTGGAATTAATATGACAATTTAGTAGATTCACAAATTTACGTGTTGCTCAGCCCAATTATTTTAGTAAAGAGTGACTTCCTGTGCATCACAATGCACTTCTCTGTCTCTGTATTTGTCCTAAAGGTTGGCGAGTGAGTCTGCGACTGACAGTTGAGAATTAACCTTTAATTGGTGATGTATTATATCCAGTAAGAGAGCACATCTGATGCTATTACCAAGCCTCAGTATAGCTCAGTCCCTAATTTTGTCTTAATAAAAGCTCTTGAAATTAACTAAAAAGTGAAGGCAGAGTTTTGTAGCAGGTGTTAATTTTGTCAGCTGATATTTTTTTCAAAGTCCAAGTAAAAACTGAATAGGAAG